CCCATAGCCCACCCCCGTGGGGCAGAGCACGGTGGGGACGGACGCGCCGCCCCGGCCAGCTGGGCTGTGGGGCTGGGTGGCTGCAAACCCTCGAGAGGAAACTCATTGTAATTACTCGGGGGGAAGGAGAGAAGCGGGGGGGAGGAGAGGGGAGAAAAGGGGGGGATAGAATTTTGGGGGGTTTTCCTTTCCCTTTGCAGGTCGTCTCAGGAGGAGGAGGAGCCGCTGTGGTTCGTAGGGTGCAGACACGTCCAGCGCCCCCACATCCCGTCCAGGGTCCCCACCACAGCCCAGGGATGGCCCCCCAGCAGCAGGACTGGGCCCGTCGAGGAGGAATGTGTCCCCCCCCCTGTGCCTTGGGGGCAGCCCAAAGGATGTGGGGGGGCAGCAGATGCAAAGCTGGGGCTGATCCCCAGCAGGAAAAGCTGGGAGTGGGGACCAATTCGGGTAAAACCACTCTCAGGATAAGCTGGTTAAGAGCCACCAGTGATTTAAGGAGGTGGTATCTGTGGGTCGGGGCTGGATAAGGGATGGACAAAGGGCTGCTGCACATCCCTGATCCACCAGGAAAAGCCAGGAGTGTGGGCTGATCAGGGTAGAACCACGCTCAGGATAAGCTGGTTAAGAGCCACCAGTGATTTAAGGAGGTGGTATCTGTGGGTCGGGGCTGGATAAGGGATGGACAAAGGGCTGCTGCCCCCAGAGAAGAGGGGGGACTCCATCCCCACGGTGCCTCCGTAGCCACAGTTTATGTTGGAGGGGTCAGATCTGGAGGTGAGATCTTTAGGAGAGGGAATAAAGCTCCGGGCAATGCGTGGAGCTGGTTCCCTCAAGGATGGAGAGGGGAGGGTTAAGGCAGGGCTGGGGTGATGCTCCTCAGTCCCCGCATCCCCATCCCCTTGGGGTGGCTCCATCCAAGGGGGGGGTCTGTCACCATCGAGGGGTCTGGGCAGGGCATTATGTTCCTTTTTGCTCAACCCCCCTTTGGGGGTCTCTTCTGGTTCAGGGGGAACGCTTTTCCCCGGGATGTTGGAGAGGAGCCTCCTCTCTTGGGGTGAAAACCAGCTCAGCCCATTTGGTCTCCTCCACAGAAGAGCCCAGAATTTGTTCCAGATCCTGAAACTCCTATTCCCCCAGAAGCAGACAGCGGGGTGATCGGATTAGGGGCTCCTGGCCCCACAGCCCCTTGCTCTCTTCCAGCAGCACCACGGCCGTCTGTGATCCACCGGCCCCACACAATGCTGCTATGGGGCAGGGGACCAACATGGCACCTCAGTGGGGCTCTGCTGGGCTTGGACATCCCTGATCCACCAGGAAAAGCCAGGAGTGTGGGCTGATCAGGGTAGAACCACGCTCAGGATAAGCTGGTTAAGAGCCACCAGTGATTTAAGGAGGTGGTATCTGTGGGTCGGGGCTGGATAAGGGATGGACAAAGGGCTGCTGCCCCCAGAGAAGAGGGGGGACTCCATCCCCACGGTGCCTCCGTAGCCACAGTTTATGTTGGAGGGGTCAGATCTGGAGGTGAGATCTTTAGGAGAGGGAATAAAGCTCCGGGCAATGCGTGGAGCTGGTTCCCTCAAGGATGGAGAGGGGAGGGTTAAGGCAGGGCTGGGGTGATGCTCCTCGGTCCCCGCATCCCCATCCCCTTGGGGTGGCTCCATCCAAGGGGGGGGGTCTGTCTCCATTGAGGGGTCTGGGCAGGGAATCGTTTCCCTTTTTGCTCAACCCCCCTTTGGGGGTCTCTTCTGGTGCGGGGGAAGGCTTTGCCCTGGGATGTTGGAGAGGAGCCTCATCTTTTGGGGTGAAAACCAGCTCAGCTCATTTGGTCTCCTCCACAGAAGAGCCCAGAATTTGTTCCAGATCCTGAAATAAAGACTCTGGGGGGAAGGGGGTGAAAAAAAGTTGTTTTTTCTTTAATCCATGCTCAGGTGGGTCAACAGCTCATGGCAGTGAAAAGCACCTCGTTTGTTGGGGAATGTTGAGGTCTCAGCTGCTGCACAGCTCAAGGAGATGCCCCTTGGGGGGGTCCTACCCAGTGCCAGCGCCGTGGGAGGGGGGTCCCCGCTGCCGGAGGAGGAGGTGTGTGATGGCCACGGCCGTGCCCAGGCTGCCCAGCACCAGCAGGCAGAGCATCCCCTTCACGCTGCAGTAGGACCACGAAGCGCCTGCAAATGGAGACAAAAGCTGGGGACGTGGGTTGGGGGGAAGAGGATGACACATCCCTGGTCCCCCCCGAGGGGGTTGCCCACACTTGTGGGACTGACCCTGCCAGCTCCCCAAGATGGTGGCACTGGTCCACAGCCACCCAGCATGTTGCACACCCACGCCTACATCGCCCCCTTATGGATTTAAGTCCCAAAGCTCATTTTGGAGTTGGAGGGGGAGAAACCCCCCCCCCAAGTCCCCCCATTTTTCACACAAACCTGAGCCCGTAGAGAGACAGACGGCTGTGACATCGATGGTGGCCATGCTCCAGCTCAATGAGTTGGTGGCGTTGCATAAGCAGACCATGGGGGCAGAGTCCCCAAGGAGCTGTAGGTCCAGCTGGGGCTCTTGGCCCAGGGCTCCGGGGTGTCCCCTATTGCAGGACCAGCTGTAGGAGACGTTGGTGGCCCCGGGCACGGTGCAGAGCAGGGAGAGGTTGCAGCGGTTCTGCTCCCAGTGCAAGATGCGTGTCTCCAAGTCCGGCGGGGCGAGGGGCTCTGTGGGGACAGGGTGAGAAGGGACAGGGGAGAAGAAGAGGGGGACAGGGGGTGATGGGGATCCGGCTACTCACCCCACACTGACACGCGGAAGCACGGCTCAGTAACAGCCTCTGCTGTGCCCTCAAAATCTGCCCAGTAGATCCCACTGTCTGCCGTGTGAACCTTCCGAATCGACAGGGAGAGACTTTGCGTCTCGAAAAAAGCTCTCCCATAAAAAAGGCTCTCGTTTTTGATTTGGACCTTTTTAGTTTTCTTAGTCTTCTGGACCTGGTCTTTGTGTCCCGTATCCAGGCACATTCTCCATTTAACCTTTTCCTTCTTCTGCAGATTTTTATCCAGCACCAGCCGCAGCTCTCCACCGGCAGCCACAGCTTGTTCCTGGCACTTTGGGGATCCTAAAGCAGAGAGGGGTGAAAAAAGGACCGTGGCCCCAGGAGACGCTGGGGAGGGGGCATCATCGCCACCACCACAGGGGGGGTCCCAGCACAACCCAGCCCCACTCTCTCCACAGGGATCTGAGGCTCGACGCCTCCGGCATGGTGTCCCTTCAGATGTCCCTTGGGTCCTCTCCGGGGCGGCCAAGAACAGTCTGGGAACCCATTTTCAGTTCCTCCTTCTCTCTCATCCTCCGCCTCCACTTACCGTCAGCTGGTGAGAAAGAGATGCTCCCAGGGATGACCGGGGTGGGGTGGGGGGATTATTTCACCCCAGTAAATTTGTTATCTAAGGCCAATTAAAAGGGTATCCCATTTTCCGAAGACAGGGAAATCTCTGACAAAGCTCTCCCTCCCCACCCTCCCCGGTGCCTCCTGCAGCGAGTCAAATCCTCACGAGCCGAGAATCTTTTCAGCCTTTTCTTTAAAAAATTGACAGTTTTCCGCAATAATTCCTTCTAAACAGCCCGATTTCAGTGATACCCGTAGCGCCAGGACTTCCCGACCCTCCAAAAGAGCCTTTTGCTTCCAGCTTGGGTTTGGGGTGTCGATTCCAACAACCCATGACCCCGTGACAAACCATTTTCTTGCTCGTTGTGGGGAGAAAAATAAAACAAAACCCCCCAATCCACAACCAAGAGCGTTGGGATTTTAAAAGCCATTTCCCAGGGAAGTAGCCAGCCCCACACGAATGCCTGGTGCAGAGGCCAGACACAACTCATTGCAGCTCTCAAGGCAGATTTACACCTCCTTCACTACCTCCCCTCCACCCCCTCCCACGCCGTTACCTTTGCAGAGGAAGAAAGGGAAGAGGAGGAAGAGGAGGAGGAAGAAGAAGGCGATGTGCTCCATGGCTGTCCCCAGGGAAGGTGGGACGTGGGGTGAGAGATGGGGGCAGGCACCAGAAGGGGGGGATCAGCCCCAGCTTTGCATCCGCTGCCCCCCCACATCCTCTGGGCTGCCCCCAAGGGAAGGGGGGGGGGACACTTTCCTCCCCGACGGGCCCAATCCTGCTGCTGGGGGGGCTGTCCCTGGCCTGTGGTGGGGACCCTGGACGGGATGTGGGGGCGCTGGACGTGTCTGCACCCTACGAACCACAGCAGCTTCTCCTCCTCCTGAGATGACCTGCAAAGGGAAAGCAAAACCCCAAAAAATTGTGTCACCCCCCCTTTTCTCCCCTCTCCTCTCCCCCCACTTCTCTCCTTCCCCCTGAGTAATTACAATGAGTTTCCTCTCGAGGTTTTGCAGCCACCCAGCCCCACAGCCCCGCTGGCCGGGGTGGCGCGTCCGTCCCCACCGTGCTCTGCCCCATGGGGTACCCCGTCATCCCCCCCCGACCCCCCCAGGGGAATGCCCCCCGGCGGAGGGTTGGGCTATGGGGAGGGGGGTGCCAGGGGACACAGCGGGGGCGACAGCGACAGCGCAGAGGAGCCCACAGAGGGGCGGAGGGTGCGAAGGAACCGCAGGCGGGAGAGGAAGTCACCGCTGGACACAGTCACCCGGCTCCCGGGGGTGGGTTCGCACCCCTCCAGCTGCAGGGAGCTCCCTCGGGTGCCCCCCCGGAGATGGGGTGCCCTGGGGGTCCCCGGTGCCTGTTGACACCCATGTTGCTGTTGCTGCCCTTCCTGGTGCTGGTGGCCACGGCCGATGGCCAAGGTGAGATGGGGACACGGTGGTGGGCTTTTTTGGGGGAGGATGGGGGCTCATTCAGCCACCCGGTGTGGAATGGGGTGACCCCCGGTGCCTGCATTGATGGGGTACCCTGGGGGTCCCCGGTGCCCGCTGACACCCGTGCTGCTGCCCTTCCTGGTGCTGGTGGCCACGGCCGGTGGCCAAGGTGAGATGGGGACACGGTGGTGGGCTTTTTTGGGGGAGGATGGGGGCTCATTCAGCCACCCGGTGTGGAATGGGGTGACCCCTGGTCTCGTCGTTGATGGGGGTGACCCCCAGTCCGTGCAGCACCCACAGTCAGGGCAGGAGGGATGCTGCTGCCCACCCGGGGAGCTGGGTGCCAGAGAAAAGGCTGGGGTGACGGCACCCACGGGCTCTCAGCTGTGGGGTGACGGGCAACGAGCCGGGTTTGGGGTCCACCAGGGAGATGGAGAGGGCCTGGGTGGAGTTTTGGAGCTTTTCTTTAAAACTCTGTGCCTGGTGGTGCCCGGAGCGGGTAGAGCCGGAACGGCTCTCCCTCGGTGCCAGTTCCCCTCCGTAGTGCCTCTTCCCCGGGACACACAGGGCTTGGCCAGAAGAAGTCACTTCCCTGCCCGAGCGGTGTCTCTGCCCCACAGCCAGCCCTGACCTTCCCCAAGACCAGAAACGCCACTTTTCCCATCCAGGTCTCCCCACCGAACAAATATGGCGCCTTTTTCCCCATGATTTCAGTGGAGCTGGTGGTGGTTGAGGGTCTTCCTCCCAAAACCAGTGACTTCTGCACGAGGGGAACAGAGAAATGTCTGTTTTGGGGGGGGCATTTTGGTGCTTGGAGCATCTCCCGGCTGCATCTCTGCATCCCGCATCGTGCCACCCTTCCTGGCTCTTGGGGACACACACACACACACCAGTTGAGCATCACCCCCACCTTCCTTCTCCCACCACCCCAAGATGCATCTCCCAGCCCCATTTCCCACCCTGATGGGGTAGTTTTTTGGGGGGCACGGGCTGTATGAGTTGGGGTGTCGTTTGCTGGAAGCAGCAGAGCCTGCAGCAACCCTAGGCTGAGCTGAGCTGAGCTGCAAACCCCCCCCAACCCTGGTCCCCACAGGGGATTAGGGTCACACCTCCAGGCTGTGAGGGGGGGATTTTTTGCATCATTTTTTGTTCATTTTTTACCCCCTGCCCCAACACCCGCCCCCCTCCAGGAGCCTGAGATGGGGGGATTAAAATTGCCCTCCCATCTTCCTTGCAGCACTAGATGCCTCCTAAGCAATAGCCTCTGCTCATTGCAGGCCGTTTAGGAGTCGTTTGCTGGAAGCAGCAGAGCCTGCAGCAACCCTAGGCTGAGCTGAGCTGAGCTGCAAACCCCCCCCAACCCTGGTCCCCACAGGGGATTAGGGTCACACCTCCAGGCTGTGAGGGGGGGATTTTTTGCATCATTTTTTGTTCATTTTTTAACCCCTACCCCAACACCCACCCCCCCTCCAGGGCAGCTCCATGAACCTGAGATGGGGGGATTAAAATTGCCCTCCCATCTTCCTTGCAGCACTAGATGCCTCCTAAGCAATAGCCTCTGCTCATTGCAGGCCGTTTAGGACCTGGAGGGGGTGCGAAGGGCCCCCTTTGTAATGAGCTGCAGGTCCCAGGCGGGAGCCATGAGGGGTGGGACCCCATAAATAGTCCCTGCACCCCAGCCTGCTCCTTTGTGGCCCCTGGGGAGGATGTTTCTGCCTTTCTTTGCTCTGCTCTCTGCTCTTCCTGGATCTGCTGAGCGTAGGGATGGTCCCCTCTGCACCCCAGGGCCTGCTGAGGGCATCCTTGCATGAAGACAAGGTTCAAGGTGGAGTTTCTTAGGGTCTCCTGGCTGAGGTTGCAAAGCTGGTGGCTCCATAGGTGCCTCCAAGCGTGGCTCGGTGTTGGGACCAGTTGCACGAAGCCCAAGCCCTGCTGGGGGCTGTGGGATGGGTGGGTGGGTGGGCTAAGCCGAGCTCCCGGAGGGGCTGAGCTTTGTTGAGGGCTGCACGCCGGCTGTCGTGTGGGGCTGTGCAAAGTCCACCCCCGGCGCTGCCCCGACCACAGGCAGCCGTGAGGAAGCCGTGAAGTTGTGTCGCACGCTCGCCCCCGGCAGCCGCAGAGGTTCGTTTGTTTTAGGGGCTTTTTTTTTTTTTTTTTTTTT